TATAACGTAACGCAATTTGTGCTTTCGATTCACACATAAAATACGAAACAAACGTTACTTCTATTTATCGATTTTTGTTCAAAGCTTCTGTTACGATCATCTAAAATGAAATGCATCGATTTGACATGCGAGTTAGCGCTGTTTTGTATCGTGGGAGGGGAATGCGGTCATTTCTCGCCCAGAATGTTTAACAGGACAATTATCGCATCAGCAGTAATGTATCTCCACTGTGCAAAACATCTGTTGACGGAAGAGAGCAGGCCAACCATTTAATTTCAGTTCTATATCATTTCAATGTTGCCCAGTATAAACTATCGAATTGCTTAGTGTAACTGTCTGATGTAAACACTCCCCTAGACACTGCCCTATCACAAGAACGACAGGAGATGTGAACTTTTCCGTGATTTCCTGGGTACAACAAATGTCTCTGCAACTCATATTGCCAGAAAGTTCTTTCAAATCGGGCTTCTACTTTACAAATGTACTGTCGATTGAAAGAAGGGTTTGCTAAGGAAGGCGATTGCCTTAGAAACGAGTCACGCAGGAATCAAATAACAGAATTGTCTTATAATTCATTTAATTTGTAAAAAGTTGAAAAACAATTGAATTATTAGAAAAAAATAGGACTGATTTAATTTACAGGAAATTTACATTCATATTTTTAATATTTTTTTCTATAATCCATCCACGTAAACACTATTTTTATCTTTTTATATCGTTATGTAAGTTTGGTAGTTAATTACATATTTAAAATTGCTTCGAAACATGTTACTTGAAACATTTTAACTGATTGGGCGATAGTTGATCAGCCTTTCATAAAAAATCAACATCACGACTTCTTATTTGTTTATCATGTAATTTCTAAAAAAAGAAGTTGTGTAATTACCTGGGGGAATGATGGAAACTGGGATCCATATTTTTAATCCAACCTGTATAACTGATTCAGGCCTTTACGTGCTACATAAATGACTGTTTTACCTCACACGGGTTTACATAAAGAAGATAGGGATCAGTGTCATTGCTCATTACACGTACTCTCTACGAACTGGAGATTGTGATGTCTAAAAACGACATTTGCTATAAGCTTATCCGATAGCCACTCAGCACGAACATACGGTAAAATGCCACTCATTTTACATCCATTTATTAGTTTTTAGCTTTTATGGGTATACATATTAAACGGTGTTAACAAGTCCTGACATATATTGATGAGATCATACTTGTGCGTGACAAAAGATTACATCCGTATTACATCGCGAATAACAACTTTCCTCGCGCAGTTCACGGATGTTTACTAGACTGGACAAAACCTTTATAATGACAGGAAATAATAGTCATAATGATTTCCCCATTAGGAAACCTAATAACCCAACCTTAAGGATCGCTATGGTTTTCACAGTACAGCGTCTAAGGAACACGATTATTTTTCTGGGGCAAAATTTGAAAGTAAACTCTTTTCCATTGAAATATTGACGTTATATAGGGGTTTGGCGACATATAGAGGGAGATGTATAAATGAAATGTAAAGAAAGAAAGGAAAATTGGACCGTGCAATGGATTGGCTGTAAGCAAGGATGAAAATAAAACGTATGACAATGTATCCAGATATCACTGTACATGTATATTACATTTCTGTATCAACTATTAGAACTATAAGCTAGCCTATGTTTACATCCCTTTTAGTACTCTCAAATCAGACTGATAATAATCTTTGTATAGTATTTTTGGACAATTCTCTTAGTTCTAATGGTAATATTTCGAAGAGTGTTTCCGATTTCTATTTATAGCATTTTGGAGAATGTCCATGGCACTAACGTCATTTTCAGGGACAGGATAGGTCTGTTGTGTTATACTGTACGTTATCGTAAGAGGCGACTTATGTGGACTTTCTGCATATCGGTTTAAAAAGACGATCTGCTGCCCCATTACAACACTGTGGATCTTGTCTTTAATTTTTTCTTGCGGCGGTGTCTCTGTAGGCATTCGTTTTCATATGACCCTGTCTGTTGCGAGGACGTTAACCAAATACAAACAAATAATGACGTGTTCAGTAAATAAAAACAATCTATAAATGGACACTTTCTGATCTCTGATAAGTATATTTACTGTTGCTGTACAACGTGTTCCCATTATAATTAATATTGGCTAAATCCATCGTGTAACAGGTCAGTTTTGGAGGTCAGTGTTGTCTGTGTATAATATCAATTTGAGGTTACACATGATCCTTCAATTTTGTCTGGCTGTCAAAGTGGGCTTCCGTATAATGTAATCAGTTTGGAATACAATACTCCTTATTTTTATATTTTGTTTCCATGTGGTTCAATGTCCACCCAAAATATAAGGTCATATTATGACAGGTCCTTGTAGAGAAATATAGGCGAAAAAAAGTAGAGAAGCAAGAAAAGAAAGGAATAGATGCATATCACAAGTGCTGTAATAGGGGCAGCAGATCAGTTTTGGCATGTCCAACGTTCCCTAGGCTGAAGAATAAAATCTCCGATTCTGCAGGAATTCACACATAAGTCGCCTCTTATTAACATGTAGAGGGTTAGGATACAGCAGGCCTATTTTCCCTCGAACCTACTTCGGGTGAATTCTCATGATTGATAACAAATACATTTTCTTATTATCCATGTCCTTAATGATGATATAATCTCTAACGTCTATTGGAATCATATCCAAAAATCCATATGACACAAGACAAGGCATTGTTTTGATTACTTGGCACTGTATTCTTTTTATATACTTACGTTCAAGAAACGTTACAAATTTTGAAGAGTTTATCAGTATTGTCCCAAAACACTCAAACCTCCAGCAGCAAAATAAATACATAAAAATCCCAACCACCTTATTATATTATTGATATATCGAGCGATTGATTTGTATATTTTGTTCGGAATTGACAAAGTAAAAACATATGTGAACCAATTAGTTTGATAAGCAAATCATTGTATGACTGAATGTCGGGATGGATGAGAATTCAAAACCATACCTATACTCACTTTTTAAAAGATTCATCTCATATCATTAACATTCTGCAGCTGGTCAAATTATAGAAACAATCAAACATGCTACCATACAGAGTTTTACTGTGACTGGTTCATTATCAGGTGCAAAAGGCTGGCTTCTTCGTTTCAAATGCTTTGGATATGTATAGCGTTGATGTTTATGAATTTAAAAAATGAAACACTATAAAACCAATGTTTGTTTTTTCTTTACCTTAACGTTGTAACGTAACTAAGTTACTATTTTGCAGTACAACTTTTCGAATGCATTCTATTATTTTTATATAAACATTGCAATTAATATGCCACCTGATTATATTAACAAAATGTTCCATCTACAAAGTTTACAACCAAAATTTGAATAAGCATTTCAACGTATTGCTGTTAATGTGCAGCTTGTATCAGATACAAAATTTAGTCCTGTGGAGCAGGAGGAAATCCACATTTATTGAAATTAGATCAGAGAAAGCCCTTGTTGTACTTCCCAAACGTGCTTGCTAAGCAAGTTATCATCAGGTGACGGTCGAATTTGTTGTTTCCTAAGACTCTAACGCTTACACTGAAATCAAAATACGTTTGATCTAAATAATAACTGCATTTTTATATTGCAGTTGTTAATTGCCTTGTCAGCAATATCCGTGATGATCCAAAGCCAGACAAATAACTTCGTATTCTTCATCCAATAGAGGGGGTTTTGGAGTCAAGACTGCAATCCGTTGTGTTGTCAGACGCTATTCCATGATCCTTTGTACATGAACCTCAATTATCTTCTGAACCATCAGGATACAAATGATTTGCTTGTGATAACAAGGTACTATGTAAAACAAAGGGGGTATAATAAGTCTGTCCTAATATTTAGCGATACTTGAAACAAACTCCATAAACATTATTTTCGATCTTATCTAAATTATGGTGTCTAGTCACTGTTTCCTGCGTACTTAATTGTAACTAATAAGACTTAACAATAAGTTGTAACTAATAAGACTTAACAATAAGTTGCTCTATGTGGTTTGTTTAAGAAGTAGTGGTTTATCTAAGACGGCGTACTAGTATAGGATGACGTCGGGGATACATTGGTCTACATTGTGATTTTATTGGACAGTGGATTTTGTCACTGTTTTGATTTGGTTTGGTTTGAAATTAACCTCTTCATCAGGTCATATATCTGTAGCATTGCTCTCTTCTACTAAGGTGGCCGCGGTTGCCAAGTTGTTAAGGCGTCTGGCATTCTGCTACCACTTGCCCTCCACCACTGGGTCGCGGGTTCGAGGCCCAAGTTGGGCAGTCGCCAGAAACTGGCCGTAGATCGGTAGTATTTATACGGTAACCAAATCTACTATTTAGTCTGATGGATGGCCACTGAAGGGTCCCTTAAAACTCCAACCACTCCGATTGGTCACTTAAAACTCCCACCACTCTGATGGGTCACTTAAAAGTTCCATCTTGCTGAAACATTTTGTTATGACGTATTGATTTATTCATAGTATATACTTAATTTGTGATAGGTTATTTATTGATGTGTTTCATTTCCCATCCAAATATACCAGTTATAATGTACTTTTACTGAAGTTATCGCGTATAGAAATAAAACCAAAATTTTTAAACGTTTCACTGACCATAACGGCAGTAAACCCATCCCCCAAAAAAGCAAATTAATATTTTAGCATTGTGCGCCATCATCAAAACACATTATGCATTTCAAGCATGGCTTTTGAAATAAATGTGTTGCTTATATTGTTTTCACCGTATATACCAAAATGTTAAAGATTTGCCAAAATATGGTTTTTAAATGTCAAATATTACTCATCGATCCTTGAAAAGTTCCTTTATTAGTATTATCCAACAATGATAAATGTATCTACCTCAGCGAAATTTAAGATTATTTATTTCATTTTGTTCCAATTTAAATACTGCAACAAACTTAGGATTTCGCATGTGATGTGTTATCGAAGTTCAGCAGAATGTATAAAATCCAGCCATGATAATCGTTCTTACCTTCATATAGTTGCAAATACAATCCCACTATAGTCCAAACTACTGAAAACCTCCTGATATTTATCAAACACCGAGTCATCATTGATAGGGCCACACGACATATCTCTCCTCCGTACAAATAGCACCAATGACACTGTCGCTTAGGCGACCAAATCATACACTAACCATCAGTTGAACGCTTGTAGAGAATACCAACGTCATTCGATGAAAAATAATGTTATGGACTTGTGTGACAGACATCGACACAGAACATCAATCGGCACGTGTGGTTTGGCGTCATCAGTCATTCAACTAGTAGGGTTGCTTACAGAATGTTATAGACACGACACAGATCGGAGGATAGCAAATAGCAATAGCAGTGATGGAGTCGGCAAAACACTATTTGATTCCCGAAAGAAATCGATGTTATATTAATCCAGTTATTTGACAGCCATGTAAAGGGGCATATAAAGATAAGTGGTAAAGTAAAACAGAAAAAACGCACATCACTTTCAATACATGGGGCTTTTTCCGAGCTCGAGTGAGATATACACAAACAGAAGGAGCTAAGGAGAGGTTCAACCAAACCAAAAAAACAAATTCATCACCAAGAAAGTATCAGAGGCACAACTCGTTAAATCTAGAATAGTAAAGGGTGTATTTAATGATTACTTTGAAAAAATTAAGAAAAATTTAACAGAAATATTGCCAGAAATATTTTCATTTTTTTTTTTTTTAGCAAACTTCATCCTTTTGTTGCGTTTGTGTCGTGAATTTTGTTTCGGCATGACGAACTTTTAAGAAGATACACATATTATAACACAAGTTAAAAAGACGCTAATTAATGAGTGACCTTTTGCAGAGATAAACACTGATTTACCGAAAAAGTATATCTATATTGTACTAATATGTATCTTATTATCAAAAGCCCGAAATGGATCCGTTGTTCGGAAAGAGAAAATAGAAAGTTGGCTTATTTTGTGGGGTTTTTCCTTCAAACAAACTTATTGATGAGGATTATATATCGAAAGGACATGCTACTGTGTCAGATGGAATATTAAATAATTGACGAGAATTTATTAAGTTTGTTTTATATTTGATAACTTCCAAACATAAAAATCTTACAACAAAAGTGTCTACCGATGATGTCGTCCAAAAGGCTTTTTAAAGTGCCACTACTCGGATATATCACGAATTGGAAATAGTACCATGAAACTTTATTCCGTTTGAAAACCATAGACAAAGAAGGAATCAATAAAGCGAAAAAAGGGAACGAGGCTAAATGGCGATGCCGACAGCACCTTCCCCTTTGTTTCTTCTCACCTTTAAGAGACAGATAAGACAGTCCACAAAAATGCAAGGTGGTTGTGAGCGATATATTTTGTCAATAGTCACCTCAATGCACTTAACTTATCTCGAAAAGATGTTTTGTGAAGTATGAGTCGTTTACAGTATGTATGAGTAACTGACGAAAACAACACTTTATTTGATGAGATGCCATATGAATACCAAATCATAGAGACAGTTGTTGTTAACTGGCGTCCAGCATTCTCTTGCTAATGAACGGCTTGAAGCGATAATGGAATGCAACATTGTAAATTAGGTTTATACATATTTCTTATGTAACGAAGAACAACTTAAATCAAACACCATAAATAACACCCTTTGTAACTGCAAATTCAATTAAGAATGTCTGAAATCAAACAGTGCGTGAGTACTTAGTAGGATGTGTGTCACTCGGGTAAATACTTGTGCTCAAACACTCTTTTTTTTTTTGCATAGCAGCTGTCAGTTTGATTTTAACTTCATTAATCAATACAAGACACCATCTTCAAACATATGTTTTCTCTCAAGAAATTCAAAGCTTTTAGAGATACACGCAAAGTTACTTTATAATTTTTAATACACAAAAAGCCTTGATATGTATCTTCGTGAATTTTCAAACGAACACTTAGATCAATACAACTTGTAGTCACTTTGGCATATCCAAGTTGGTGAATGTGATGGTCATAAGAATCAATTCGTGGGGAAGTGAGGGGCAAACTCCTCAAAAAGTCCTAGATGTCGAATCATGTCACAGTTTCACCACAATTTGGTTAAAGCTTTAGTCTTCCTTGGTGCCTGAATGCTAGGCCCTGACCCTGCCATGTTCTGCGCTGTTTTGGTGTGGTTTGTTTTGAGCATTGCCAAAGGTTATTACACCCGAAGAACTAGTGATTCTTTAAAACAATATCAACCACTTACGGATAAAACAATTAATAATCTGTAAAACATTTTCACTTTCTCTCGACAAAAACAAAAGAATGACACGGACAATCAATGTGGTCGTCAATTAACATCGTTATGTTAAACGTCAGCATTACGAAAAGACAAGCAAGAGACCATAGAGTATTACCTTTTAAACATTTTAAACATTTATTGTTTATCTTTTAGCATATTTTTCTTTTGAAGAATTTTTCATTTTTAAGCATCAACAGATACCACGGTAAAGGCAAAAATTGACATTTTGAACTCTCAATCTTTTGGAGGCACTTTTGTTAGAGTAAGATTTTGATGTAACTGACGAATATATAGTAGTATTATAAATCAATAAATCGAACAAAACATGTCATGTGTACCTGATCTGTTGTAATAGTGTTGTTATGGAGGGAGGGATTGGGGAAACTTACGTCTTATGGCACGTTTAATTAACGTGTATACTGTGAGGATTTTAATCAAATTTGATAACTTTGCTTTGACGCAGTCTGATAAAAGAGGCTCTCTTTAATAATTATAATGTAAAATACTTTCTTGTGCCTCTTTAACATGGTTGTTGTCAAATAAGACAGAAATGATTTGCTGGTAAGCGTTTAATGAGGGAGTCTGCAGCACTTAAGTCATTCAGAGAATGACAACCCCCGAACAAAAATATGTCAAATACCGAGAATTTACTTGACAATGTGCTGCACACTAAGCTCGCTCAAAGCTTGATGAAATTGTGCTTCAAAAGTGTCAATGCAATGTTCATTTAATGTCACAATTTCAATACGGTAGAAGCAAATTAAGAAGTAATTTTAAGCGAATGGGGTTTGGTAACTGTGTGGCGGTAAGAGAATATATATTTGGTGCTAAAACGTCAAAGGTATTTTTGAAAGCTCCCAGTTCAGTGCGTTCCTTCTAAACCAAGCAACCTAGACCGACAAATACCTTCGATTAGTAGAGGAAATTACTACATCAAATCAGCGTTTGGGAATCAAAAGTATCTCTTATATTTCTAGGCAGTGTGAGGTAATGTCATGAGATGCTGTAAAAAAGATGTGTATTTGAAGTAAAATGCACGCGCTTAATCCCACAGCAGCAGCAAAAATTACCAGTGATACAACTCAGACGTATATACAGAATGACATCAACTGTAATAATCCAAAGAAACAACAAACAAAACATGAGATGCCAATCGGTGTTTCATTCAAATATGAAAGATTTCTGTGCTCTCTGTCCAGAAAATGTTTAAAAAAATCATATTTGATAAGGAAATGGATTTTTCACAAAAATGAATGGCACTCACGTCCAAGATGAAAGGTCATTCTTCTTTATTGATGAAGCTTGAGGGTCTATTCTGTCCACGAGTGTTTGGGTATAAATAGTGAAACTCTGTCCAAAAGTTTCTGAGCAGAAATAGTGCCACTCTGTCCAGAAGTACAACCACACCATAGTTCAAAAAGCACTGTAGACATTCGTGTGTTTTATGGTTTTCACATGCTCTGTAGACATTTTTTTCTAGAAAATAGAAAATGGATGTTTAAAACATTAATATTGACGAAGGATGCATCGTTAGAGGTGAATGATATTAAGATGACAATACTTCTATTATATCATGTGTTTTCTCAGTTTATTGAGAGAGAACAAAAATACCAAACTGATGCCAAATGATAATTCGTGAAAATCTCATCCCGGTAATGCAATACACTTTTCAAACCAACTGGCGTTTCTATTAATAGAAAAAGTTTTTGACGTGTTGCTGTCGGTTACAATAGACAATAAATTACAGGTAGGGCGCCTTAAGACCTCTCAAGTCCCGACACTTACATAACACTGGTATCAGGTATGTGTAAGAACAAACAAACATTGTGATGTAACGTTGTACTGTAAGGTATTCCTATCAGCTAGGTTGGTACATAACGACATACCTCGACCTGTTGCACGTGCAAGAAGTATCACTGGAGAATACAAAATTCGTGGTGTATGCTATTGAAGTGGTATTTGTCATGATGTAGACATGTTTTGTCAGGGTTCGCATACATTAAATCAGTGACAAATATGAACGCTCCAACTAATTGAGAATCAGACACTGTGAAACATTGCAACAACATTGCCAATGCTGACGTTTTCATAGCGCAACAGTTAAATTATGGAAATTGTCATTTATTTTTTACGATGTTAATTACCAAAATAGAAGTATTTAATGTGTTATATAATTATATATATGCGTCCCAACTACGGCGTATTTCTCAATATTTTAAAATTGTAAATATGTTCCAGATTATTAATTGGAAAAAATGTAGCCCGGGGATTATAATTGTTTTCAATTCACCAAGAAATGAAATTTTAGATATTTAACAATCCAAAAATGAAATTTATTTTCTTATACAGTAATACATTCAGTGGTAGTTTCGGGTTTATACTATGCAGTATGTATCTAATGATTGTTTTTATTTTGGGTTAACATCCTCGTTACAGTTATTGTCATATGAAGATTGGTATCAAGTGAGACACCACCGAAAATGAAAAAGAGTAGGGAAGTGTTAAAAAATGTAAAAATATTAACTTGATATATATGCGTAGCTTTTAAGCAAGGGCTCGTGAGACAGGAAAACAAACAGAAAGACAATACGAACCTTCAAAAACTCCAAAGGATAAACTAGATGGTTCGAGATGTGGTATCCTACAGGTGCGTCCTATAATTAAAGTTTAAAAGATAGATACTGAAAGCATATCCTAGGAAAATAAGAAGGATAAGCCTGTATCAAAAGTGTACGCCTCATCTTTGTCTGCTACAATACGTGTCAGGTGATTTGTTCGGCGCATTAATATCGACTGTATTACGATTATATAAGACTTATTTTCAATATCATATAAAATTGATGGAAGTCTAACAATTCAACTATCATTTCTGTAAAATTATATACACAGAGAAATAAATTAATCGTCAAACGGAGGTAAATATTTGTATGTAGTGGTGTCTTTGCAATTTAATGTCTCGGTAGAA